GAACAGGGTGAACCATTGTCTAATCCTAGTGTTTACAGATGTCTTATAGGGAAGCTCCATTATCTCACCATCACGAGACCAGACATCACCTATGCAGTGCAGCAACTTGCTCAGTTCCAATCAGCACCCTGCAATGAGCATCTTCAAGCTGCACACAGGGTAATCAGATATCTGAAACAGAACATTGGACAAGGTTTAATATTCAGGGCTGATGCAAAACTTGAACTATCTGGTTACTGTGATGCTGATTGGGCAAGTTGCCCAGATTCCAGAAGGTCTTTGACTGGGTACTGCACATTTTTGGGAACTTCTCTTATTACTTGGAAAACAAAGAAACAAACCACGGTTTCCAGATCATCCTCAGAAGCCGAATCAGAGCTTTAGCTCAGGTTGTTTGTGAGGTTTAGTGGTTGAGAAATTTGTTGCCAGAAATGGGGGTTAAGGTTCCTTTACCCATTCCTTTATATTGTGATAACAAATCTGCACTACATATTGATGAAAATCCAGTTTTTCACGAAAGAACGAAACATATCGAGATCGATTGCCACGTTACAAGAAAAAGATTGAAGTCAGGGTTGATAAAGTTGCTTCATGTGAGGACGGATGATCAAGTAGCGGATTTATTCACCAAAGGTATGACACGTTACAGATTGAAGTTTCTATTGGACAAGCTGGGAGTGCACAATGTTTACTCGCCAGCTTGCGGGGGCGTATTAAATGAAGAAGATGAAGGAGATGCTCTGTTGCACACGAAAAACAGTGAAGCAGCAGAGGAATGAAACTGATGAAGAAGAAACTCCACCCAGAAACGGAAATGTTTCTGGGCTCCCTTCCACTCAGCAGTCTAGTAGAAGATTGAGACGACACCGTTGTGGATTTCATCTACTTACCGTTGGGTGGAACCAGCTGGGACGAATGACGCCACAGCACGTGGCTTTACATTTACAGTCATTTTGAATTACAATTTTTCATTTCCATTTCCACTGTTTGTAACGTGAACTTGAAGCCTACTGAAACTAATATAAAAGAGAAGCAGAGGGAATCGATTTCCTCTTGCGCGTTCCAATTGTGACGTCGTCTTCTTCCTTCCTTTACCCTAGCTACTGCTAGTTCTAATAGGAAACCGCGGCAAGAGTTAGTGGTGGCGTCGTGGCGGCGAAGGAAGAGCTAGTGGAGCGTTGAAGTGGGTCCATGAAATTGTCGTAGAGAGGCAGGGGAAGAGTTTAGGTAATTAGGTTTTATTTTTTATTTTTTAATAATTTTGATAATGAGGTGGAAAAATAAAATACTATTTTTTATTATTTTATAATTGACACATCACTCATTTGACGGTCAACTATTAGAGTTGACTGCCACGTCAGAAAATTTTAACGGAGAATGACCAAACTTGAACTGTCAACCTAATTTGAGTGACTACAGATGGAATAAACGTGAACATTTTATGTAATTCCAGTGACGAAACTTGCAATTTACCCCTGAATTAACTAACAAACCTAAATGAAAGCCACCACAAGTGCAATCTATAATGTACTAAATCACACTTCACAAGTGTTAATTTGGTTCTTGAAAAATAAAAATAAAAATAACAACCTTCTACAACTATTCCTCCACTATAGAAGATAGCATTTAAAAACCTTTTTGACAACAAACTTAATCCCAAATTCCCAATTAACACCCTTAATTGTCATCTTAATGGGGGTGCGTTTAACATTGGCGTCTGTCTTCCAGTAAATAGGTCTAAATAAATTTGGAGGCACCTGATCGTTACACGTGCCCACCTCGGTCCACAAATATACCCAAACCGGCCGCTCATCGCATCTCCGACGGCCATAACAACCAGAATGGAAGAAATCCGAAAACGAGAAGAAGACCCAGAAGGAGGAGGAGATCAAATTCAAGATCAAGAACAATCGCGCAGAAGAAACCAATGGGAAGAAGAGATGTACTGGACCCATTTCCAGTTCACCCATTTCTGCATCTCTCTCCCCTCCGCCTTCCTTCACTCCCTCGTGAGTCAAATCCCAGATCTGATACCCAATTGATTGATTTCCATCCCACCCAATAATTCCGACGAGTTTTTATTTTGTTTTTGATTTCCCCCCAGGAAATCCCGGCGAAATTTTCCGTCAATTCCAAGCACAAATTCCCGGAGTCGGTTACGATGACGGGCCCCGGCGGGGCCAACTGGACGGTGGGCCTGACGACGGGCCCAAACGACGCTGTGCTGTTCGGCCCGGGGTGGAGGGAATTCGCCCTCGACCATTCTCTGCGGGCCAACGACCTTCTGGTGTTCAAGTACGACGGCGGCTCCCGTTTCGACGTTCTGATAATCGATGGCCGGATCTCGTGTGAGAAGGCCGCTGCTTATTTCGCCGGAAGGAGTGTTGTTGCCGGTGCTCCTCTTGCTGCTGACGATCGGTCCCGGGCGGTTATCAAGCGGCGCCGTCTGGGGTCCGATTATGATCACGTGGAATCGAGTTCGAAACCGACGGAGGTGGCAAAAGAGGAGGAACGGAAACGGAAATCGGCAATAAGGAAGGCGAGATTGGCGGAAACGGAAGGCGGTTTCATTGCCGTTATGAAGGCCAGTCACATTTGCCGGAAATACTACCTGGTAAACTCTCAGCTGGTCACTCAACTTTTTAGTTTTTAACGATTTAGTCACTAAAGTTCAAAAAAATTAACATAAATTGGAGTCTCTCCAAACCATTAGAGAGTGGACCAGTAGACATAAAATCAGATGAATCATTCAGATTTTACAGATCTATTAGTTCACTATTTTAACTACCGAAAAGAGAAAACAAAAATTAACTTTAACTAAGACTATCCACTAACAATTTTATTTCTGATTTTTTTTTTTTTCATCTTCCAACCCTCTTGTCGGCTTAGTGTGGTCCACTATCTTAAATTTTATTGAAAAGTATAAGTTCTTTTGTAATATAGTTTGAATGATTTGTTAGAACATTTGGAGATAGATGATATTAATTTAAAAATTTTACATAGTTACCATCAGTTCTAAATTAGTATATTTTATATGTATTTTATGTTATAGTGCATAACGGTTATATCAATGGTATTGTTAATTAATAATTTTTAATGGATAACCGCTAAATCATGAACCACTAATTTTTCCAATTTAGCATCCATTCTGGTTATGAAACAAGGTTCTAAACTCATGAGAACAGCGGTCTAATACTGAAATACATCATAGGATCAAGAAACGGACCAACAGTGTATTCTACGGATTTGGTCTAGTCAAAATATCGATTCAATTATTTTTTCCCCGGTATTTATAAAATTGGGTTATATGTATAATATGCCCCTCTACTATGTCGTTTTATCAAACATGCCCATCTATTATTTTTTACATCAAGCATCCCCTAATCCTTTTTTAAAAATGATCAAACATGCCTTTATGTTAAAATTTGCATCCCAAAATCGTTCACCACGACCAAAGTTTGGTTTGGACGATACAATGTCTTAAATATCCCGAATAATTTCACTTTAGAATTTTTGTGTGCTTTTGTATACCTAAATAATTCAAATAATTTCACTTTGACGAGACCCAGAGAAATAAAACATGGGACAAAATTGACATTTTCCCTCCCATTTGTCGATGTCGGGTCGCCTAAATCTTGGTTGAACCATGATTGACGATCTTTTTATGAAAATTTTAACAAAAGTGCATGTTTGATAAAACGACATACTAGAGGGGCATATTATACCTATAACCCTATAAAATTCATGAAACAAAGGATCGGACCACATTATATTTGGTTCAATATATCCGATCCGAATGTCATTTTGATACGATGCAGTCCAATACGAACTAAATCGTTGCACACCTACTGATTAGCTATTGTTTTCCCACGTAACAGTCGCTTCCGTTGACGTGGATGAAGAGGCACCTCGGAGTCGAAGCGCCGGAGCAAGCGGTGATTCTGCGGACGGAGGACGGCGGGAAGTGGCCGGTGAAATTCAGGATGCGGAGCGACTGCTGCAGGGGAGGGTTGTCGACAGGATGGAGGCAGTTCGCCTTTGACAACAACCTACGCCTCTTCGACGTTTGCTTGTTCCAAATCGCCGGCGATGTTGCTGCTGTCCCGGACGCCGTCGTTTCTCTGGATGTCAAAATCTTTCGTTGCGATGGCTGATCATGTTGCTCTGTTTTTTTTTCTTGGGCATTGCCGAGTTCAGTTGTTTCGTTTTGGAAGCACACTGACGACAATCGAGTTTGTCTCGGGCTTCTTTCGCTTGCAAAATGTGTGTTAATTAGCATAAAAGTCACAAACCTATTCACTTTGTACAAAAAGGTCACAAACTTTTTATTTGCACGTTTCAATAACAAATGTTTGGACTAGTAATGAAAAGATAATTCTGTTCATCTCCATCCAAAAAATCGTTAACTTCCATCTATTCAGCACGCCACGTCATTTAAAATATTACTAAAAAATTGATGACCAAACCCAATTGAACCGAACCACCCAGCCAAAAATTTTAATTCCATACCTACCCACCCGAAATTTTGAAGACAAGACACACTCTGTTGCTTCCCTCCGCCCCTTTACTGAGCAATTAAGAGCTTCCAGAGGAATTGACATTTCCATGGACAATTTGATCAAGAGATTCCATTCATGGCGCCATTGATCAGAAACAATATACTAATCTCTAAACAATTAAACTTTAGTCCTAACAACTTTCTCAATTCTCATCCATAAAAAACCAGTCTGGATCCCTCCGTCCGGGACGCGCCAAAGAGTGGCTCCGCCGGGTAGGACTGAAAGGCTGACCCTGAAAACCCTAAGACTCGCCCCGAGCCTAAGGGTGGAGTCGGGTCAATTTACCTCTAGGGTCAGATGAGGGCCGGGTCACCTCCTTGACCCTGTAAGGGTCGGGCCAAAACCTCCATGACCCTAAAAGCCCACGTGACCCTGTAACCTGACCCACCCCTGGGTGAAATATGCGAAAGAAACACAAAACTCAGTCTCACACCCCTTGACCTAAAATTCTCTTCGGCAGAAATTCAATCACGAATCTCGATCATCTCTTGATCATCCCTGCAATGCGTGGTCAAGTCAAGGCTCGCCACCTCTTCGACACCGCCAGAGTCATCGACAGTGGCGCTCCCGTCATCACTCGGAGCCAGGCAAGGTATCAGCAACCTTGGCCACACTTCCAAGGAGGACTTGACTACTTCTGACTACGGCAGCGGCAATCCCGATTCCCGTCAATACTCTGCCGCTCAGCTCCTCCTCGTCCCAGCGTCGACCTATAGTAGTAGCAGAAGTGAGTGAATACTTCTAAACATTGGCGAATTCGGAGCTTTTTATGGTTTTTCTTGTCTGGGCTTTGTCGTTTGGGTGCTTGGATTAGGGCATGTGGGTTTGAGAGTTGATGCACTACTTCAGTTGATGGATTTGCTTGGATTAGGGAATGTGTGTTTGAATATTGATGCATGATTCAATGAGGATGATTGGTATAGGTTTAGGCATTTGTTGAATATTCTAGGTTTTCTTCCTTTCCTCCTCGATGCGATTTTATCAAGAATTTATCAAGGTTGTGTGTTCATTGGTTCGCTCTAATTGTGATCGGAGCTCTCTTGTTTGACCTGATTTCATGGGGCTACTGCGTTTGCTTCTTTGATATGATGATTTTGTTTCCTTGTTCAGAACGGTCGGTGTAGCCCTTGGTTGTTGGTGATGATTCCTTTGTTCATCATTTGTTTGTCTTTGAGAAGCATAGGGTTGGGGATGTTCTTCATTGGAAATTATGGAATGCATAATCGTTGACTGGTTATGTAGCTGTTCTGGAAATTGGTTTGTTCTGTGTTACTAAATGCTAGTTCATGGATGTCTTGGTTCTTAGTTTTCTTAATTTATGCAATTTGTTCATATGAAGGGTTTCAGAGAAGTAATTACAGCTCTGATGTAACACCCTACCCTGTACGTTTTGCCTGATCATATCGTTCACATAATTGCAGTGGAATTTAAAACTGGTGTTACATTAATTACCAAAAATCCACCAATAAAATTTCGACATGAATTACTCGCGTAATGGGCTAACAGTTCTTGCAACTAGACCTGCAAAATAATTCATCTGAATCCCTGCATTCGTAGACATACATGTATACTCACAACCATGTACATTGGCTTTCATAGCTATAGTCACACTTTCGTACTCTGCAACTACATACCATACTTATACATGTCATAATCGTCACTACATACACCACCACACACATATACACATATAATCAACTTTCCATACCTGTGGATATCTCACACTACATCAGAAGCTAGTATGCACATGAAAATGTTCTCAAAACATTTTTACAAAAAGGTGTGGATTACTGGCCAAAATCCCGAGTAGTCGTCCAAGCACAGAATAGTTGAAGACCATACCTCATCTTGCTTTTAACTCTTGCTCAGCTCCCACCTATACACCTATCTACTGCTGCTAATGATGATCTACTTACACATGGCATAAGCAGAGAAAAGCGATAAAAGAGGGTCAGCTCATGGCTGAGTGAGACAATTATTGCATCGTGAGTTCATAACAAAGCATACCCCTAGCATAAATCTAGCAATCAAGCCAAAACACTAGGATCGGACCTCAGCCATCCTCATATCCCAATGGGCAAAAGACTCGACCACCTTGACCTATGCATATGCCTCTTATCATGTTTTACTTATAAGCGCATGGCTACTCCTATGCTAATAACTCTCCCGGGCAACATACCCCACATCCCGTCGGATGTAGTGATACATACCCCAACATCCCATCGGATGTGGTCATACATACCCCACACCACTATGGGTGTAGTCATACCCCGACACCGCTCTGGGTGTAGTCAATAATATCATACAACAGTCCAGGGTTCAGCATACAACATCAAAGTTCATACACTCCTAATCATGCCATTCTAGTTCACCTAGGTCAATTCTAAGCATAAATATAATTATCGTGATACGACAAGCCCGGTATGTCGTGCTAATCCCTCACCAGTTCTCATGGACGGAGCCAGGATTTAAAATAGGGGGGGCCGACAAATTTTCTTCCTCCTTTCAATACTAACGAAAAAATTTTCCCATAACATAATGAAGAAACAAAATTAATTTGACGAATTTTTTTGTAGATTTATGCAATCGAAGATTTAACTAAAAAAAATAGGTGATTAATAATTCATGAATAAGATTACACATTTTATTGCAATCAAAATACAATTACGGTCATACGAACTTGCAATGAAATTAAAAATTGAAATCGGTTTAGCACAACATTCTATAAATTCATGAAGAAAATATTTCATTAGATTCTTAAAAACACTAAAAAGCACTTACTTATTTAAATAATTTTTCTAATAACGATGGTTTAACTTCAAAAAATTAAGGCCAAATACACTTGTATAGCCAAAACTTTGACGGTTTTGCCAAATATAGCCACTTTTGGCGAAATACCAAAAATAGCCATTTCCGTCCAATTGTTTGACAGTGTTAGTTAACGTGCTGACTGGACTAACAGCAGTAGTTGATGTGGCATATTTTATTAAAATATAATGTTAGGTGGAAAATAATTAAAATTTTATACTTATATTTTTTATCAAATTAAATTAAAAAATCATAAAAAAAATAAAAAAAATAAATGTCTTTCTCCCCACCACCACCGCCTGTTCATCTTCAACAATACTTCCTACCAGAAGCTTCCTCTTCTGCAATAAGCTTCCTCTTCAGTAATCACTAGGATAGAAGCCTTCCATAACCCAAACAACAAACAATTAAGTGTTCAACCCTAGTCCCCTCATCACTCTTCGTTCTCTCCTTCTCTCCCGACGACCTCCCAGTCCCCCACTATCGGCAGCTGCCGTGAAAAGTAGTTTTTGCCTCAAATCTTGACGCCTCTTTTCTGCCCATAAAACACAAACCCAAAAAATTCAAAAACAAAATCATCGCCATCTCTTCCTACCATTTTCAGATCAAACCCCCCAAATCACACAATCAAATATCCAAAAACCCATAAATCCCTAACTCTCCAGATCGGCCTTCCTTCCTCGATCTGTGAGTCTGAGACAGAGGAGACGATGATAAAGTCAAGAAGCCCCAAAGATGTCGTCGTTCTTAGTGGTGCGACCCAGATGGAAGATCAAGCGACCCAAATCCCAAAGACCAGCATCGTCAGAAGCCGCCATGCCGTGCCAGAGCGAGAAGAGGATGAGCGGTTGTCTTTGCCGCCAGCAAGATGATGCATGATTGCCTTTGTCGAAGCCGGAACGGAGACGGAGGAGTGAATCGGGGAGACGAGCCGGACTGGATTGAGGGGTGACTCGACGGAGGGGTGGATCGGCTGGATGGGTGTGTTCGTCGATGAGTGTTGTCGTCGATCTAGAGTGATGGCGGAGGAGTTTCGATGAGAAGATTGGATGTACATCTTGTGGAAAGAAGAGAAAAGGAAGAAGGTGGAGGGTTTCAGGGAGAAGATTGAGATCGATTTTTGCGGAGCTGGAAAGAAGGATAAGGTAGATGAAGTGGGAAGGAAAGAAAATAAAAAATTAAATTTTTATTGGTGAAGGTTTTGTTGGTGAAGATGAAGTGAGTGGAAAGAAAATAAAAAAATTTAAAAAATAATTTGTTAAAAAATTAAATTTTTAATGTGACGTGGCATCCCACCTGTCAATGGATGCTGAGGTGGGAAGGAAAGACATGGTGAGGTGGCAGCCACATCAACTGTCCGTTAAATAGACTAACGGTGTCATTGACGTCGTCAAATTATGTAACGGAAATGGCTATATTTGTCATCGAAATTTCAAAAATCTGGCTATTTATGGTATTTCTCCAAAATTGGCTATATTTGTCACAATCGTCAAAGTTTTGGCTATGCAAGTGAATTTGGCCAAAAATTAAGAACAATTACATAATTTATGGATTAGATCAAGCATTTTGTGGAGCCAAACACCAACTACCCAACCAGTTGAGCTAGTTGCCAATCATGATACATATTCGGTATTATAAAGTATTTAAAATCTTAGGGGGGCCATGGCCCCCCTGCCAACAAGCTGGCACCGTCCCTGCCAGTTCCAGTTCTGGTAGTTCAAACACGCGATGTGCCTCCCGTACTCCAACTTCACTTTTCTCAAACAAACCTGGAATCAAAATCCGAGATTGTCCTAATACCCCCTGAAGTGCCCCCTGTCAATGTTACTTCTAGGCTCCGAGTCAAATTCTCGATAAAAACACATCAAACTCTGGTCGGAGCTAAATTCAGCGACTCCGACTCCAACCTAAATAATTATCGAAATTGATAGGTTAGAACTAGAAAATTCATTACCTCGTCGTAGATAAATGGTATATGAAATTTGGGTTTAAACCGACTTCCGGGTCCTTCGATAGCCTAATTTCTATGATGGTAAGTAGAAAATTCTTGCCCCCCAAAACCCACTACAAGCACCGAAATAGATGAACGATATTATGCGGAAGGGTTGCGTACCATTTCTCTCGTATTTTTGGACAATACAACTTCAAGAATTAAGCTCTCAAACGTTTTTCCTGGACCTCCCCTACTTCTGCGCTCTGTTATTTTGTTTCTCTCATTGCGTAATTGAGAGAATGGAAACGGGCTTTAAAGAATGAAAGAGATGCAGATGGCCGCCTTTGCTTTCTGCCAAATCCTCTCGTTGTGACACATAAACATATATGGTAATACTAATAGATATATACATAGTTAATTATTATATATCTATTATATTGGTATATATAATAATATTTGATATTTATCCGATCGATCGATATTCCGATTTTCGACCAAATTATATCAAAACACTCAACTTAAATCGCGAAAATTTCTAAGTGCCGAAATATGGATTTAATCGGAATGGGATGTGACATCTGAGGTGATATCTGAGGGTGTTTTTTTTTTGTTGTTGTTGGGTTTCCTTCTTTGGTTCTTTGTAACTATCAGTAGCCTCAAGGCTTCTCTGTTGGGAACGAGTACAAATTTCATTTGCTCCTGGTGTAAAATGAGCAAGTTTAGTCCCTGGTTAGGAGATCTGATCAACCACAGAAGTACAAGCCATTCATAAGCAGATGTCTTAGAGAGATCGATGTCAAGTCAGGGCTTAGCTTCCAGCTACTACCAGTACCGAAACACTAGAGCTTCTAGATGACGAGGCACGTCTCCTCAGCATGCGCATTGTTGGTGGTGATCACAGGCTAAAGGTTTGTTTGAATGAAAATGTGTATTCTCTTCATTCTTAGTTCATTGAAGAAATGTTTAAATGCTGGTGGCTGATTAATTTGTTGTGGTATCATGGCAACCATAACTTTTCGTCGATAGTCTCTCTCCACCTATACAGATCCTCGAAGGAAGGCCAGGGACACCAAGGACGAGACTTGCTACTTCGTTGAAGCTCTGAAACTCTGATCAAATGCAACCTGAAGTCGCTGGCTGATGTATCTGATCGACTTGCAGTACAGGACAGGACCGATCTAGGTTAGTCTTCACTGCTGCTGGTGTTAAATGATTTAAGCAACAATGGCAAAATAACAGCTGGTTTTCTTTACAAATCTCAGTTTCTTTTTTCTGGGTTTTATACAAATTATGGACAGCTGTTACTTTATATGATTTTTCTTCACAAACTACTTAGGACTGCACTGAATTGGGCATATATGCATACATAATCATAATATAAATGCCTGTAAAGCATAGGATCGTTGGGGAAATTCATGTGTATATATTATCTTCTCCCTCGAACTTGTAAAGGAAGTTGGGGAAATTCATGCAACTAAATGAGGAAAATTAATTAAAAGGAAGGAAGCAGTTAGTTGCTAATATTGTC